TACATTTCATCCTAGCTGTGTCGATATCTTCTATTAGTTTTACTGCGAAAGCTTTTACTTCGTGTGTTGTCCAGAGTCCATAATCTACCTTATTTTGCCTGTTATTTTGAGAAATTTTGTTAGGCAGTTTATAGGTTAGTCCTTTCCCCCTTTCATGTGGTTTATCTATATTTTCTGTTTCATTAATCCTGTCCTCGCTAGTTAAATCTAGGGAACCCTCCTCCCCTAGACTATCCTTTCTTATTGTTATACTTCTAGTTTTATTTTTATTTCTATTTTTCTTGTTTCGAGTCTCTTTAATTGAGCTAGCAGGTGATATAATTGTCAGGCTGTCTTCCTCGTCACTGGAGATGACCTGTATTTTTTCTCTATCTTCTGTTTTCCTAGATAATCTGGTTGTTCTTCTCGGTTTAGGTGTACTTTCCATATTATCATCTTTCTCTTCGGGTGTTCCTCCCTTGTTACCCCTACTTTCGTCCATTGACTCGGTGAAGGATGAGTCCAGTAACGAATTCGTTGCATAACCTGTACTTCGACAAATCTTTTTTGTCCTTGTCTTCCGCTTCCTAATTGTAATTTCCCTAGATTCCCCTATTACTGGTGAGATTTGTCCTATCTCTTTGTCACCGGGCGAAGGTGCACCAGGGGAGTTTCGTGCCTTTCGCTTACTACTAGGAGTTTTTAGTTCTTCCTCTCGAAGAGATTGCCTACCGGCTTCAAAGTCCTCCTGCACTGTTCTAGTGGAATCCGTGGATAGTATGTTAAGGACATTATCCTCTGTTCTGTCGTCGACGGTAGCCAATTTACGCTCCTCCCCCGTCGGAAGGGAGAGAGCAGGCCCTACGTATGATGAAGACATACCCGCCCCAGGGACCGTAGGGCTGGTACGCCTGCCACTGAGGCTCCGAGATCTCTGTGGCCGTAAGTTTATTACTGAGTCATCGTCCATAGCCATATTGTCATTGTTTGGGGACAAAATTCGAGTGTCCCCATCTCTAGGGTGGTTGGGTGTTACTAGACCCTGGGTCCACTCAGACCCAATAGAACCAAGAATTTCCATTGGTTCTTTTCCTTGCTGGGACGGTATCAAGTATTCTCCAGGTGATGTTAATAGAGTAGACACGTCATTCATTCGTTGTTCAATGTCAGACAAGGTGTTCTTTTTTTCCTCGAGTCTTCTGCTAATATCTCGCAGGGCAGCTTCCGAGAGATCGATCTCCTTAATCATTCTGGTATCCATAATGATTTCCAGCTCCATGTCATCCTCGCAAGCTTGGGGATTTCTCTGCGAGTTACATTCTTCCGCTTTGTCAATTTTTCCCTCATCTTCATAATTTGGCGTAATTCCTCTTAGTACACTAAGCTCTGCATTCGTATCATGCTCTCGTGCTTCAAATACCTTAAGTCTATAAATTAAATATAATCTGGCCCAACCCATTTGTTGTCCGTAGTCGTATAATAGTTTTAACTGTGCGATCGTTGCGCGTGTTTTGTTTCTTAACTCGCAATTTCCTTTCCTCAGGAATTCATTTTCAATTTTGTAGAGATTATGTACCGCCCAGCCAAAAATTTCTTCTGGTGAGTTTTGGTTGCTGGCCATTGCATGCATATATTCCTGAATATCCAAACTTCTAGACATTTTCTTTCTTATGTACTCGCCCACTAGGATTATCTCTAGATTTAAACTACAGCGAGAGAAACGGGGCACAATTTAATCCAGTCGGTCGGCCCACCATATGCATCAATCATATGGGGGTCACCATAGCCGCATCCCGCGCTGTACATTTCCACACTAAGTAATATCTTAACAGGCTCCCGGTGGGGTAAGGCATCGGGTCAGCCTGGGATTGTTACCAGACCATCGAGCCCTCCCCAAGAGCCCGTACACCTCTACTAATCCAAGTATTGAGTATGCAAAACTAGAAACTTCAGTTGTTAAAAAATTCCCCAGGGTCTAGTTAGTTTCTCCAGAAAAGCCCCAAACCCTAGTTAGAAAACCCGAACGTTGTTCTAGTGTCTATAAAGGGTGTTCTAATAGCTCAGAACACTTACCGTATCACCCTCTGGCTTCCATTCAACCTAGACCAGTCAAAGTTCCAATGACGTCACCTTCAGCACCACGAGGAGTAATGTCCTCTCAGGTATCCGCAATATAGGTGTCCCAGGTCCGCCGCGCATCCGGCGCAGACCTCACTTCCGGTCGTGCCCTCCGAGGGGGTAATGCCCCCTGTTCCACATCCCCTCGGTGCGCATCCACGTAGGGTCACCCATCTCTACTGCGCAGCCATCAAAATTCGCACTTCCGGTATGCAGCTTTGGTCTGTTCATAGAATAGTCCTAATATCTTATGTGTCGATCGTATCTTGAGTATATTATGTTCCGCGTCACACACTATAGATCCCGCCCTAGGGAAAACTTTTGGTTTTCGCGAGGTCTTGTGTATGGATCCTACATTCAGAACTATACTGTAGATTTATTGCACGCGCTATAGGTACACTAGGGGAAATTCCCCAGGTTCGAACCAGAGGTAACTCAGATATATTGAGAGAAGAAACTCCCAGAATTTTCAGAACGAGCAAGCCTAACCTAACCTGGCCTAACCTGACCAAACTTTAACCTAACCTGACCTAACCTAACGGGTGCCATGCGGCAGAGTCACAGGCAATGTCACTAAACACTAGGCACAAATTATAAGTCCGCCAAGGGACTTATCGAAACACTATCACTTTTCCGTCTGAAGTGAGGTTATATATACCTTCATTCAGGCAGGGAAATAACTATCATCTCTCAAAAATCTTGATGATACGAATCGCGCACCAGATGCCACTTGGTAAAGCCACACGAAATGTCACTGGGCACTAACTGTAGATTCTTCAGGAGGATCTTCCAAGCACTGTCACTTTCTATCTAAAGTGAGGTTATGTACACCCTCATTCAGGCAACGAACTAGTTATAGGTTTATTGTTTTTAAGAGTTTCGCTACCCCTAAAAATCTAAATAGTTCACCAATAGTTTGCCCTCTAATTTACACTCTCCGTTTTCTAATTGTTTAAAACCAAGGATTATAAGAAATTACTATGGTTTGGTACTTTTCTAAAACGATATATCGATACCTCGATAATACGAGTCGTACATCAAGTGCCAAGTGCCACGTGGCAGGCACGGCCAGCGTCACCAAACACTTCTTTATGGATATAGCAAGAATATAGCCAATAACTAACTGTTTATTAACCTCAGTTTAATTAGCTATTCTGGTTCAACACCACGACACTTCAATAAGTCAGTTTTTCATTAAACTCTCGCAAATGTCTTGAGTGCCACTTGACGTGGTGGCGCCACAAGACAATCTCCCTAAGCGTCAACCTAACCTCAAATGCCACGCGGCATAGACAAAGGCAATGTCACTAGACACTTCTTTAACGATATTTAATCAATTACCGATAATAGGCATTATTTATATGTCTCTATTAATATAATCGAGTCACTTCTTGTTAATTTCCACACCACGACACTCAATAAGTTAGTATATCATCAAAATCTCAAAATCTCACAAGAGTTTAGAGTGCCACGTGGCGTGGTGGCGTCACAAGACAAAATTACTAGGCGTCAACCTAACCTCAAATGTCACGCGGCAGAGCCAGAGGCAATGTCACTAGACACTTCTTTAACGATATTTAGTCAATTACCGATAATAGGCATTTTAGATGTCTCTATTAACGCAATCGAATCACTTCTTGTTAATTTTCACACCACGACACTTCAATAAGTCAGTTTATCATCAAAATCTCAAAATCTCAAGTGTTTAGAGTGCCACGTGGCGTGGTGGCGCCACAAGACGATATCCCTAGTCGCCAACCTAACCTCAAGGGCCACGCGGCAAAGACATAGGCAATGTCACTAAACACTTCTTTAACGATTTTTGATTAATTACAGATAATAGGCATTAATTGTATGTCTCTATTAGCACAGTCGAATCACTTTTTATTAATTTCCACACCACAACACTTCAATAAGACAGTTTACCATCAAAATTTCAAAATCTCACATGAGTCTAAAGTGCCACGTGGCGTGATGGCGCCACAAGCCAAAATTACTATGCGCCAACCTAACCTCAAATGCCACATGGCAAGAGACAAAGGCAATGTCACTAGACACTTCTTTAACGATATTTAATCAACTACCGATAATAGGCATTATTTATATGTCTCTATTAACACAATCAAATCACTTCTTGTTAGTTTCCACACCACGACACTTCAATAAGTCAGTTTATCCTCAGAATCTCAAAATCTCACAAGTGTTCAGAGTGCCACGTGGCGTGATGGCGCCACAATACAATATCCCTAGGCGTCAACATAACCTCAAGTGCCACGTGGCAAAGACATAGGCAATGTCACTAAACACTTCTTTAACGATTTTGGATTAATTACCGATAATAGGCATTAATTGTATGTCTCTATTAGCACGGTCGAATCACTTCTTGCAAGCCAACGACAGGTTCACTACCTATTCTTCGCACATATCAGTGTTGAAGAGTATGGAGTGCCACGTCATCAATATGAGGTGGCAAGGCGAAGCCGCGATTAAACCCTTATTTCTCGTGCAGTCAGCGTCCCTCCGCAAAACCCGTATATTATGCACTTCACAGCACTTCCCTCTTTTAGGGCATAGCCTAAAAAAGACTCTCCGCGTCGCGAATTATCGAAGAAATTCACTTTAAAATTTCTCCGACACGTACCACGTCATGCTCCGTCCAGAGCCCCGAACAACCTCAACCTAACCTAACCTAACCTAACCTAACCTAACCTAACCTAACCTAACCTAACCTAACCTAACCTAACTAGCCAACCCTTCTCCCCCGATCCACTCAGCCAACCCCCTCCTGAGGATGGAGTTGGCCGCGTGGCCCTGCCCGTGGTCCGCGTCCCACCCGTCGCCTCGCGACCCTTACCGGACGCGGCCCCGGCCTACCGCCCGGCTGCTCCCCCGCGCGGTTGCCCCTACCCCCCCCTCCCGGCTTCACCCCTCCGCCGGCGCGGTGGGGGAGTGCGCGCACCCCGTGGAGCCCCTAATCGCACGCGATACGGCCCCTCGGCGCGCCTCTCCCGCTCCGCCTCCTCCTTAATCCGGAGAACTGCCCCACAAAAGGTGGTGACAGCCCTCCAGTTCCCCTCGCTCTCGAGCATGGCCTCGACCAGGCTCGAGAGCGAGAGGTCCTCCCGCCCTAATACACCCCTTAGGTCACGGCGCAGCACATCCCACGCTGAACACTCCTCCAGCGTGTGCTGCGCCGTGTCCTCCTCGACGGGGCAGTGATGGCACCGCCGCGTAGCCTCCTTCCCTATGCGACACAGGTACGAACCGAAGCACCCATGCCCGGTAAGCACCTGCGTCGTGTGGTACGACAGCCCGCCCCAGCGCCTGTCCGTCCACACTGATAGACAGGGCGCCAGGGCGCCGACGACCCTCGCACCAGCCGTCTGCTGGTACTCCTGGAGTCGCGTCTGCCACTCCAGGGCGAGCGTCCGCCGGAACCGGCGCCTCACCATTTCCCTCGTCCTAGCCGGGAGAGCCAACACTCCCTCCCTCTCGCGGAGCTCCCGCATTCGCCGGTATTGCCCGGCGAGTGCAGATGCGAGGAGCTCCGCGGGAGGGATCCCGGCCAAGGCGAGGGCCGCCTCAAACGCGACCGTTCTATAAGCCCGAACGGCCCTAAGGGCCAGCACCCGCTGCACGCGATGCAACATGTCGCGCAGCCTGGCACTGGCCCCCAGCTGTTCGGCCCACACCGGAGCCCCATACAGGGCCATAGCGTGGACCGTCCAGGCGTAGAGGCGTCTCACCCTTCCGTCCGGTCCCCCCAGATTGGGCAACAGACGACCCAGGGCCATAGCCGTTTGGGTCAGTCTGGGGACCAGTCGGGAGACATGCTCCTCAAAGCGCCAGCGGCTGTCGAGGATCAGGCCCAAGTATTTTAACGAGGACCCGACCCTCACGGTGGTATCCTCCACCGTGACCACCATAGGGGGTGGACGCCCTCGGGAGCCATCGTGCCAGACGATGGCCTCCGACTTTTGCGGCGCCACCCGGAGGCCGAGGGCCCTAATGGCCCTCGCCACGCATGCCACCGCTAACGATGCGGTGGCGGCGGCCTCTCCCCAGTCGTCTCCCTCCGCCAGGACTATCGTGTCGTCCGCGTAGCAGACCACACGACACCCCCGGGGGAGGGCCACTGCAAGGACCGAGTCATATGCGATGTCAGGATCGGCCCCAACACCGACCCCTGCGGGACACCGCACACGACCCCCCTTGTCCTGTCGGCCCCATCGCTGTCCGTATACGACAGCGACCGGCCGCTCAGGTAGTCCTGAACGATCGCCTGGAGGTACCCCGGGAAGCCGAATCTCCTCAGCGCCTCCCGGATGCACCTCCATGGCAGGGTGTTAAACGCGTTCGCTATATCAAGCGATACCCCCACCGACACCCTGCCATCTGCCAGTGCGGCCTCCACGAGGGACCGCACTTTCAAAACCGCGTCGATCGTCGACCGTCCCTCGCGAAAGCCGAACTGGTGATCGCTCAGGTCCGGTCCCACCCGCCTCATGTGCTGGACGAGACGGCTCGCGACCACCCTTTCCAACATTTTTCCCGCCTCGTCCAACAGGCAGATGGGCCGGAACGAGGATGGACTATCCTCCGTGTCCTTGCCCGGTTTGCGGAGGAGGACTAACTTCGCCCTCCTCCACTGCTGGGGAAAGGAGCCGGTCTCGAGGCACCTATTAAACAGTGCCGCGAGCCGGCCTACTATCACCGGAAAGGCCAGAGCCCACGCCCGTCTCGGGATGCCGTCCGGCCCCGGGGCTTTATGTCCCCGAAGCCGGTCCAGACATGCCCGGAGCTCCTCTTCCGAGACCTCCAACTCATCCCGCCACTGGATGAGCGGCGCCGCCTCCATTGGCGGCGCCCTTTCTTCCCCAGGGAAGAGGGCCCCGACCACCCCCTCAAGGGTGGCCGGGGGGAGAGTCTCGGTTGCCGGAGGCGCCCCCCCCCCTTAGCTTCTTCAACACCATCCTATATGGGCGCCCCCAGGGGTCCTCATCCAGTGTACCCAGGAGCTCGTCCCAGGCTCTGGCCTTCGACCTCCTGATGGCGACACGGAGAGCATCGCGCGCCTCGCGGTACTCCCCGTACGCGCCCTCTATCTCCCCCCTCGGCCTATCCCTCTGCTTAAGGCGGGCGTACCGGCGACGCGCCGAGATCGCTATGGCTCTAAGCCCCGCAATCTCGTCGGTCCACCAGTACGCCCCCTTTCTACCGTAGGGGGCGGACCGCACCCGAGGCATCGAGGCGTCACAAGCCGCCCACATGATGCCCCGGATGCGCTCCACCCCCAAGTCCATGTCCCGCATATCCGCGGAGCATGGGCCCCACGTGGCCGCTAAAACCGTCGCCATCAGGAGGTCCCCGTCGAGTGTCTTGGGGGACCATCGTCGCCCCGGAAGCGAGCGACGAGGCACGACCTCCCTACGGGGGGCACACGCCAGGCGGAACTCCACATATCGGTGGTCCGATAGGGTCTCACACCCGGCGTCCACCCCCCACCCCCCTATAAGCTGTGCGGCGGACGGGGAGGCCCACGTCAGATCCACGATCGACTCCCCGTTCCACCGCACGCAAGTTGGCGCCCTCGTGCCCTCGTTAATCAGACGAAGGTCGTGCGTCGCCGCCCACTCCTCAAGGGCCTCGCCCTTGCGATCGCTTCGCGGGGAGCCCCACGCCACGGATTTGGCATTGAAGTCCCCCGCCACGACGACCGGACCGGGAAGGTGGCCTGAAACACAGGCCCCTATCCGGTCCCGCCGCCGCGCGACCCCCACAAGGTCGAGGCTCGGGGGATGTATATCCCCACGACGACGACCATCCCCCATCGCACCGCGACGTACCCCTGCCCCGCTCCCACTAAGGAGCAGGGAGGGGAGCCCGCCGCGGCGCAAGCCACGATAGCCACGGAGCCCAACCGGTCCCCGAACCACTTAGGGTCATCAGGGACCGCGTAGGGCTCCGCAGCTATCCCCAGGCCGCAACCACGCTCCGCCAGGCCATGGACAAAAAGGTCCTGCGCCTGGCGGGCATGATTGAGGTTCGCCTGCAATACCTTATTCTGGAGATGTCGCATCCCCCGTTGTCATCACCAGGGTGCCGTCAATCTCCGTCGTTTCCACCGCTGCCGGTAGATCCTCCACCTCGGGGGCCGCATCCGGTTGCGACTGCTGCTGCTGCTGCTCCGGCTGCATCTGCTCGTCCCTCTCCCTGGGTCCGCGCTTCGCTTCCGAGGTCGGGGACGCTTCCTCCTCGCCTTCCTTCCGAGCGGGTCTCTTCCTCTTCTCCCGCTGGGGCTGCGGAGGAGGGGGCTCTTCCGCCCCCCCCCGGCACCGCCACCGTAGACTCTTCGGCCCCCCTCACAGCCGAGGGGGGCTCTTCAGCCACCACGGGAGGCGCCACCGCCGCGGGGGTCCTCGGAGCCCTCCTGGCTCCGGGAGTCACCGCCACGGGGCCCGATTTCCCCTTGTTATTCCCGCCCCTCCTCACAGGGGCACAGGCCTTGCTACCCGCCCTGTGCCTGGCCGGGCGCCCCAGGTCCGCGCACACGGGGCAACGTGGATCAGCCACGCAGCCCCCGGCGGTATGACCAGGACACCCGCACCGATAGCACAGGGCGCTCCTGTCCACCGTGGCCTTACATTGGGCCCTAACGTGTCCTATCTCCAGGCACTTATAACACTGGGTGGGGCGAGGTTCCAAGACCTCCACCCTCACCCTGGACCAGCAGATCCTAATCGCTCCTTCCTTGGCCAAGATCCGCGCCGGTCCCAGCGGGCATCTTACCCACGCCGCATGTAATCCGTTGGGGGCCCTCCTCATGGGCCCCACCCTGAAATTAGCGGCTTCCACCCCCGTCGCTTGGGCAAGGCTGGCCGCCACCTCTTCCGTCGTCATCGCCTCGTCCAAGTTATGAAGGCGCAGGTCCGCCGTCCTCTCCGGTCGGCCGACTCGCACTCCCTCCATATGCGCCAGCTCCTGGCGCAGTCTAGCCGCCAGCTGGTCCGCTTTCCTCGCACCATCCACGCCCGGCACCCCGAGGATCCCGTACGGGTCCTGCTAGGTCTGACCTCCGGTATGCCCAGCTCCACGATGTCCACGCGGGACCGGGCACATCGGAGGACATCGGTGTATGTGCCGGGGGGGCACGTGATCGTGACCGCAGCGGTGGGCGGGGGTCTGGCGACTCCCACCCCCCGCCGCGGCACGGCCCCGGTTGCCCCCCCCTCCGTCCTCTTCTTGGCCGCTGGGGTCCTCGTCTCCGCCTGTCTCTTCCCCTTTCGGCCCGCGACCGTGGCCCACGTGGTAGCCACGGTCGCGGCCATCGCGGGTGGGGGATGAGCCGGGGCTCCAGCCGCACCCGCGGCCGGTTCAAGCCCCTTCTCCATCTCCTCCCTCCTCGGGCCCTTTTCCAGGGTTGGGGCCCCCACAGTGGGGCCCCCCCCCTCGCCTTGGGCCTTCTTACTCTTCTTCTTTTTTTTCTTCTTCTTCGGGGATTCTCCCCCTAACAGGGGAGGTCCCCTTCTCCCTTCCCGCATCGGGCCTTCGCCCTCCCCCACCTCTCCCGCCTCCCCGTCCCCACCCCTCACAGGTGGGGCCGGGGCCGGGAAGGTAAAGAATGAGGGTGTATGCGGTGTCCCTGGAGTGGTAATAGCGCGCAGGTACAGTTGCTCCATCTGGGTGATCGCCCGCTCGAGTCTCCCCACCCGCCGGAGGCTGCTGCTCGTCAGCCCCTCCTCCCTCCTTCCGCGTTGTTTGCCGTCATCTCCTCTGCTCATTGAGGTCTCGGGGGGGGATGGCATCACATCCACCTCCATTCCACCCCCACCAGGGACGAGCTGGCCCGAATAGCGGCCAATGCTGGGGCCATCAGGCCCCTGTCCTCAATAGGGATGTGCCCACGGAAACCTTTCGTGGGGTCATCCCCTTCTCCTCCTCCATAGGAGAGGTCCCGAAGGACCTCGTTAACCTAGGCGCCGGCTGGGGAGCCTGCTGCTGTGGCGGAGTCCTCTGCACTCCCCGAGGAGGAGTGCGAGAACATCCGCCCAGCGATCTCCGACCGAAGACGGACTCCTGAAGCTGCGTCTCCAAATCTGTCACGCTCCGGGCCATCTTGGCGTTTTCCTTGCGGAGTACTGCAACCTCCTGCCGCAGCGCCCGCACCTCCTCACTCGCCTCGAGGGTCCCCGCCTCACCTGCTCTCGTAGCAAGAACCGTGGCCGCCGCCGAGACCATTGTCGCCGCCTCTCGCAAGACCCTCACGTAGGGTCCCTTGAGGGACTTTGAGGTCCCGGCCACCTTCTCCACTGCCGCCGCCTGCTCGAGAAGTCTCGCCGCGATGTCGTTAGAAGGCGCCGCCTTCATTTCCTCGACCAGCTCGTCCTCCTGCGCGATCTTCGCCCATGTCCGCGCCGTACGAGGCGGCGGAGGGCGAGCCGAATCCAGGATGAAGAGCTCCTCCTGCTGCTCCTCATAGGCCTTCCTCTGGGCCATCGCCAACTTCTTCTTTTCCCACTCACCAGTAGTGGTAGGACGTCCTGGCCCTCTAAGATTGGGAGGTGGCAGTATCCCATCCTCCTCCTCGTCTTCGTCGCCGACATCCTCCGACGTCGAGGGGACCCTGGAAGAATGGGGTAGGTTAGAGTGACCCCCCCTCTCCGCCCTCCCTCTCATCGCGCGCGTCCGCGTCCCAACTATCGGCTCCATCGCGCCCCCGCTCGAAGCCGAACAGAAGTCCGACTCCTCGCTTTCATCATCCGAAACATAATATTTTTTGGAAGCCATATTGCATAGATATTCGACTTACGACGGTTCGCCCATCATGGGACCCCTACCGCAGTAGGGGTACTATCCCCGCCGGAAATTCGCCCCTAGTAAAAGTACACCGAAGCCGAGAGGCGGCTTATCGGGTGGCCGACCCTATCGGTGCACTGAGTGACTCTACTAAAAAGTGTTACGGGATAGGCCCGCGCCATACATGATGTTAAAGGTTTAACGTCACCCCTATTGAATGGGCCTGGCGGATCCGAACCGCCAGGTAACCAAACTTCGGGCTAGACGGTGCTGGGGAAATGCCACCCCCAGCAGTGGTATGAGGAAATACTGGCCAGGTAATCCTCCATACCTGCGCCTGGTTACCCCACTTCAACCCCGGGAGAGGCTCCGATCAACGGAGAGGGAGCGGTTTTCCCACATTAAACATAGCCCTTCAGGCGGTCTTTGCAAGCCCAGGACTTATGCACCCGCATCTTCCAGGCCAGAGGTCAGGTACCAACGTCACCTCTCCGCCACGGTCGGGGGGCAACTACTCCCCCCTTGGTTAGTTTCTCGGGAA